TTTACTGGTTCTACGAACTACTCAAAATTTCTGCTACCGGTTCTCCAGAACTGGTCAGAACCTGTTGAATACCACCTCTAATCTGTGGGGACCCAATGCGGTGGGAAGCAGAGCACAGGGTGCCTCAGTGGGTGGGGGAGGCCCATAGCAGGTGTGAACTGAGGAAATGCTGCAGTGCAGGCCTGGTTTGGCACTAAGGCCTCTCCTGTCCAAGGCACCCTGTGCTCCACTTAACAACCACAATGGCCTAAAGCAGGGATTGTGGTTGTTCAGCATGGTAATCACAACGATGCCTTGCTTAACAACCGCCATGACTTACGACCATAATGGGTACGCTCCATTACGGTCATAAGTCGAGGACTAACTGCAAGGACTCTCTCATATTGCACCACAACCTCCTTACCAGTGGTGGTATTCAGCAGGTTCTGACCAATTTTGAGTAGTATGGAGAACCGGTAAATACCACTTTTGACTGGCTCTGCCCCCACCTAGTCTCTGCCTCCCAGCTGATTGGGAGAGAATGGGGATTTTTCAGTAACCTTCCCCTGGAGTGAGGAAGGAATAGAAATTTTATAGTATCCTTCCCCTGACATGTCCCCTCAGTCATGCCACACCCACCAAGCCATGCCCACAGAACCGGTAGTAAAAAAAGTTTTGAATCCCACCACTGTTTTTTACCACTAGCCAGTGGTGGGATTCAGCCAGTTGTCACCTATTCGGGAGAACCAGTTCTTAACTTTCTAAGCAGTTTGAAGAACCAGTTGTTGGAAGAAATCTCATTTTGGTTCCCCCCCCCCCCACTTTACAGAGCTAATCCTGTAAGGAAGGCAGGAAGGAAACATTCTGGTGTTGTTTCTAGGCTAATCTTTATTACCCTGCTTACAGAAACTGCTTCTCCAGTTAACCCTTGTTACATTGTAACAGCTAAGGCGAAGCGCCCATCGACCTGAGTGATGTTGAGTTGGTCACGCCTACCCAGTCACATGACCACTGATCCCCGCCTACCCAGATGGTCATCGGGGCAGAGAACCAGTTGTTAAATTATTTGAATCCCACCACTGCCATTAGCCGTGCTTGTTGCCAATGCTGGGAGTTATAACTGACAATCACTCACAGTAATTCCTTGCTTTTAATACAGAAAAAAATCAAATAGTTTCCAGAGTAAGAATTTAGAACGAGGTTTCTTTCCTTCAAAGTCTGGTTGTCTGTGTTTTAAACACCTGCCCTCAGGTGTTGTAAAGAGCTTCCATAGAAACTGATTGACATTACTCCTTAAAATCACTTCGCAAAAGCTGCAAAAGGCTGGGTTTAAAATTTGCATGTATCAAAATAAGCCAGAATATTCCCACCTTCCTAGAAAAAGGCAGCCTAACAAATGCAATGTCTCCCTTGCTTGTAAGGGAATGAAAGAGAGTATAACATTCATTCCTGTAAGTATTTGTCACAGATACACAGGAAGTTGGGCAATGAAAAGCAAGCCTCATGCTGCTCTCCCACAGCACAATGCCACCCAAAAGGGGCCTTTGTTTTGAACTTAAATAGAAACAGAAAAAATGCTGTTTGCTCCTTGGAACAACTGCAAGGAGAAATCACATCTCTCAACCAGACCTATTTTACAAGACACATCAGCAAAGAGAAGATTGTATGACTAAGAAAAGAAGAAGAAAAAGACAAGAAGAAAATAAAATACAGGAAATGACACCAATGGTCTGAAGATGCAATAGGAAAGAGCTATACAGTAATTCGAAAGCCTCAGGCAAACTTTTAAGGCAATTCTGCTGCGTCCTAATTTCACCCAGAATCTTCTGTTACTGTAATTTCCATTTTCCAGCTATGCAGGAAAATGGAAATTGTGATAAAGGGTCAGATGTGCAGATCCACATGCACACACACGCAGGGCGCCAGTCCTCCACTGAAGCAAAGGGCTCACAAAAACCTCCAGTGACCTCAGCTCAGCTCAGCTCCGAGGTTATTATAGTTCAGAGTTTTAACATTCCAAAGCTGTGGAGCCGGAAGGAAAAAACAGGAATACAGTACTTGGGTAGACTTTTGTGGGTTTCCCCCCCCATGTTTTGCTTAAAGCAGCAAAGTTTCAAAAGTAGGCAAAAGCATTTTTAACGCTCAAAAATCTTACGGCTTTACATACAGATTAGCCAGGACAGAGAGTTTATTTGCTCAGAGGGGGGAAAAAACAAGTACTGCATAATGTCAGTTCATGCAAAAAACAAAAAAACAAAAAGGAAGATGGGCTTCAAGCTTACAAACTGAGATAGTGTGGACAATTAACTCATCAATCCACATTCACATAATTTCCAGTCTCAGTTTTCATACTCACCCTACCCCACCCCCAGGATCCAGCCACTTTGATTCAAAGGGAAAATATCCAAAATCCATCTGAGGCAATGCCTATATTAGTTCAATCAGAGTTGTAGAACATTTTTATAAACTTGAGAGAGCCTAATAAGTATATTGCATTATTGGACCTCATGTAATCCTCTCCCCATCCTGTCCCCAAAAAACTGCCTAAATAACTCATCCCAATTGATTATTTATAATGAATTCCTTGAGATTTAAGATTTTTTTAAAAATAAATGGAAGGGAAAATAATAAATTGGTAGATGAGGGGGGGGGCAAGGTGGAGAATGTTTGCAAAGCATATACTACTGTGAACTTTAATTAACTGTAATACTGAAATGTAGTATGTGTGTATGATATAGCAAGGATTATAAGCAAAAAAGAATTAAAGGTAAATTAACTAAGGTGAATAAAGATAGTAGGTCAGCTGATACGTATCAATAATGGAAGGTGAAATGATTATGCTGGGTTACAAATAAAAAAAATATTAGTTGGGAAAGTTATCAGAGGAGTGGGGGGGGGAAATGGAGGGAAAATGTGGAAATACATCTAATAATGTATAGTTAAAATTACAAGATGATTATTTATAATGAATTCCTGATATTCATGTTCCTGGAATGTTCCACTTGGCAAAGACAGGGGAAATAATAAAAAAAAAACTCCTTATATTGGCTTCCCAGTTTGGCTTGGCCACATGAGCTAGATCACATGGGTAATTTCTGCCTGATCCTTGGCATACTAACGAAAGGAGGTGGTGACTTTACACTAGTATGATGATCATTATATCCCAGTGATGGCGAACCTTTTTGTAAAGGCGTGCCAAAATTGTGTGCGCACATGCTATTGCGCCCACACGTGTGTCCACACCTACAATTCAATGCACCATGCCCACCTGTACTTGCGTGGGCGACCCCCTGCCCTGACCCCGTGGAGGGGACATTTTTGCCCTCCCCAGGCTAAGGAGACTTTCCTGAAGCCTGGGGAGATCAAAAACGGCCTCCCCTGGCCCTGCGGAGGCCCTCCAGAAACCGGACACATAGAATTTCCAAACTTCCACTTGGCCTCTTGGGCCCGTTTTTCGCCCTCCCCAGGCTCCGGAGGCTTTTTTGAAGGCTGGGGAAGGCAAAAACAGCCTCCGCTGGCCCTCTGGAAGGCCAAAAATCAGCTGCCCGGCATGCACATGCGCACTGGAGCTGACGGCTCTCGTGCCGACAAGTATGGCTCCACGTGCCACCTGTGGCATGGGTGCCATAGGTTTGCCATCACAGTTATATCCCAATAAGTTAGTATCAAGTGTTACGCAGGTTTTTCCCCCCACAATGATGTGTCCCTAACTCAGTCCTTCAGGACTTCCAACTCTTTGGATTAATAGATAACATCCTTATATACTACTAATGTCTATTAATAAACATTAATAGATATGTTTGTATATTAAGAATAAATTGTGGTTATTCTATGGTTATTCTGATACAGCCCAGTTGTAGATAAAGTTAGGTCTCCTCACTTCCTTTTCTTTTTCCACTTCCTAACAAGTCAAGATGATAATTCGTTTGATTAAGACTTCTTGTTTCATCTGAACCAAGAATTGTAGTTTCTTTCATTATTGGAACTAAGCAAAATTTTAAACAGATATCTTGACTTAAATGAATAAAGTGATTGATACATCGGTCGTATGAACCCCCGCTTAGGTGCATCAAGAAACTGAGGCTTGCTAAAAGTAAATGAAAAATTTCTTGCCTCTTAGCATGTCACAAACGAGTAGGAGAATGGAAAATAGGGGCTCAACAGCCCATCCACACAGTTCTTGATGGGGGAATGCATCTAACAGCTATATAAGGTATCTAAACACAGGCATCTTCCTTAGCCAGTGTGACAAAGCATGCATTGTGAGGTCACAAACAAGTTCAGTTCTTAAGTATTTGCACTGCACTGTACATAAGGAGTAAAATTTCCATCACAATGAAACTTTCTTACTTATCCCCCACCCTTACTATTCCATGAATACCAACATGCCCAAGATCACAACTCATTAGCTATTCATGATTTACATCATGAGTTGAATAAGTGGCCTGAGATAAAGAGGTGGAAGATGCACTCTACCTCTTTAAGAAGGTTCCCCAAGCTCTGCGTCAGCGTCTCCAAAGTTCCCTTAACATCCTCCAGGGTTGAATTGAAGGTGATCCCTTTCTGGAAGAACAAATGGAAGTTTACAATTAATAGAAAGTTGCTGCAACATAGAAGGGGAAGGGATCAGTTTGACCATTACATTTAAAGAAAAATGAATATGGATGTATTGAACCAACAGGATCAATTAGGGAAAAACAAATCCAAATATGAAACAACACCTTTCTCTCAAAAAAACAAACCACTGGAATCCCATTGGGCTTCTTCTTTGTGTGGTTCTGATAATCCTCATATGTACGTATATCTCTGGACATCTCACAGGGCATGACTATTGCTATGGAGAATTATCTCACACTGACCCATAGGATAGCTTAGAACTTTCCTGTTGCCAAGATAATAATAATAAAGACTCAAATCTATTTGCTTCAAGAAAGGATAACTATCTTCATCCAGTTTCCAGAAATATTTATAATCGCCTATGATTCTTTATACTCAATAGCTGCTAATATCTACAGTAGATAGAATAATACAGTAATTGTTTAGAGGTGGCAGACTTTATAACCCCTGTAACTTGATTTCTGCATTAAAATGAGCCATGTCTAAATATGAGGGGACAAATGAACAATGGGGTACATTATTTTTTGAAGAGCTTTACATCAAAGATCAGCAACTGCCCTTTCCCGAAGTCAAAACTGGCCTCTATTTTCCACCAAAAGGCGAAACCACAATTTTATGAGAGACAGCAGTTTAGACAAAAGGGCAGCAGCAGCAAATGAATATAGAATGACTAAGATGGGGAGCTGAAATCCACTCAAGTGTTTTTCTGAGTCAAACCACTAAGCCATAGATATTTAAATTTCAGTGAGGAAAACTCCATAAAAAAAAGTCAGCTGTGGCTTTTTGGGCCAATCTGTGGCTGTTATATGCCAATAATACATGATGAATTTTAATTCTCTGAAAATGAATAAGCATACTAACACAGTAAAAGAACAAGGAAAATAATGTGGAATTAATATATTTTCTACATCCTCACTCCCAAGATGGCCGAAAGCCAAAAGCTATGTTCACAACGCAAGATTAGGAAATGACGCAAAACTATTATTGAGAAGAATTTTCTACTGTGCCTTACTCATATTGTGTTTCATGAAACATTACTAATGAAAAGCAGCCTCAAAAGATCATAAAACTGACTCTGTAAAATTGTTTTCCCTGGTTTAAGCATCTCTCTTCCTCCCTTCCCTTTTATAGCAAAGCAGCTTTGTCCAAGCAGAGGCCCACCAGTTGCGCTGGGAACTGTTATCTAATACATCTTAAGGGCATCACACTAGGGACAGATGGATTAGAGACAGAGGCCATGTCTTTTTTAATTCTCTTACTCCAACAAAACAAGACAAATCTCCAAATTAAATTGAGAGTTTTTATTGTCTGTGGCTCTTAATCCCTAGAATGTTAATTGAGATAATTGCATATTAATAAGCTTCATTTCTGAAGCTATTGCATCATATACTTCTAGAATGATGACATTGGCTGCTATTAACTGATGAAGCTTTGATGGTGGAGATACAGGATGAGCTTTGATGAGAGAGAGAGAAAAAAGGATGTTCCAAAATGAGCCTCAACTTTACATTGTATTGGAAACGGAACTTTGGTACAGTGATGTTTATGAAGACTTTGTGACTGGCTCAACGGTCTTGATGTAACAGACAGACCCTAACCCTAACTCCTGTCACCTTCTTAAGCCAAGCTTGTCCAACTATGAAATCTTGAATGAGACATAGCATTCTTCATGGCTAAACACCAATAAGAAGATTCAAAGACTGCCTTTTTGTGTGCCTTCAAGTCAATGTTGATTTCTACCACCTGCCTGGACATGTTTCTGAGTTTCTTGGCAATATTTATGGTGTGGTTTGCCATTTCCTTCTTCCTAAGAACTGGCCCAAACTCACCCAGCTGGCCTTGTGCCTAAGGTAGCATTAAAACTCACAGAATCCCGATTTCTAGCCTGGTGCCCTAACCATTAAACACACGCACCCAAATCAACATCTTATTGTTCTTAGTTGCGAAGTCGTGTCTGACCCATCACAACCACATGGACAACATTCCTCCAAGCCTTCCTGTCCTCTACCATCTCCTGGAGTCCATTTAAGCTCANGGAATATGCATCCCCATAAATTACCTGACAGCTTTAATGAAGCCACGTTCATCACCTTCAGCATGTTGGCCTTCTGCAGTGTGTGGATCTCCTTCTTTCCAGCCTATCTGAGCACAAAAGGAAAAGCCATGGTAGCTGTGGAGGTCTTCTCCATCTTGTCCTCCAGTGCTGCATTACTGGGATGCATATTCCTCCCAAAATGCTACATCATTGTTTTCCGTCCTGACCTCAACCACAAGGGGCAGCTCATAAAGAGGAATTAGCACATCATGTGATCTTTCTTTCTAGGTAAAATTGCTGAAAAACAGAACAGAAAAATTGTTTGCTATCTACAGGTATATATAAAACATATATAAATATTGTTTTATTTTGTTTTCCTGTCAAGGAAGGATTTATGTAAGCTATTTAAGATTTATTCATATTTAAGACCATTCCAAAGTAAGTACTCATGTTTCTGCAATTCCATCATTGTCCAAGATTCTTTAGCCTAATCCATTCTCCTTTTCAAAACTCCTTTTGAAGTTGACTTTGATCTAGTTTTCTTAGTTGCTATTAGGGTATTTCAGATATTGACTCTAATGATGTCCAACATTGGAAGTGACATTTTCCTGGGTTTTACACTTTCAATTCGTAAAGCCTTATACCAATATAGTAAAATGCTGACTGCCATTTCATGAATAAATATTTAACACAGTGTTATAGTATATTGCATACGATTTCTGCGGGTTCCTTCTAAATGTAAAATACATTGAGTTTGTGAATACTGAATATTTAACTGTATTGAAAGATAATGGCTTTCATGCTGGGTAATAATAATTAAATCTGTACGTATGAATCTATTTCCATTGTAAATTAATATCACATATTGATAATATGGGAAAGTTATTGAAATGAAATTTTATCAGGCAAAAAAAAATACCCACAATACAATCCTAGGCTGCATTAATAGGTAAAGCTAAAGGTTCCACTCACATATGCAATATGTAATAGTTGTTCCCAACTCCAGGGGGTGGTGTTCATCTCTGTTTCAAAGCCAAATAGCCAGCACTGTCTGAAGACATCTCCGTGGTCATGTGGCCAGCATGACTAAATGCCGAAGGCACACAGAATGCTGTTACCTTCCCACCAAATGTGGTTTCTATTTTTCTACTTGGATTTTTACATGCTTTTGAAGTGATAGGTTGACAGAAGCTGGGACAAATAATAGGAGCTCACTCCATTATGCAGTGCTAGGGATTCAAACTGCCCAACTGCCGACCTTTCTGTTCAACAAGCTCAACATCTTGGCCCCTGAGCCACCACATTAATAGAGGGATAGACTCAAGATCACATGAAGATGTAGTATTACTTTACAAAGCCTTAATGAAACCACACTCAGAAAACTGTATCCAGTTCTGGTCACCAGACTATAAAAAAATATAGTTATGCTAGAAAGAATGCAGAGAAGAAGCAACAACAGTAATTAGGGGCTGGATGGTACGACATATGAACAGTAGTTAGAGAAAGTGGGTATGACTAGTCTAGAGAAAAGAAGAAGTGGGGTGACATGATAACAATGTTCCAATATTTGAGGGACTCCTACATAGTTCAAACTATTTTTAAAAACACCAAAACACAAGACCAGAAACCATGGATGGAAACTACGCAAGGAGGGAAATAACTTAGAACTAAGGAGAAATTTCCTAGTGGTGAGAGCAATCAACTCATGGAATAGCTTGCCTCCAGAAGTTGGGAGATTACTTCATCACTGGAAGCTTTGAAAAAGAGACTGGAAAACCATTTGTTTGAAATGGCATAGGACCATGATGGCAAACCAATAGTACGCATGCCACAGGTGGCACATGGAGACATATTTGCTGGCACACAAGCTATCAGTTCTGGCATGCATACGTGCAACAGCCATCTGATTTTTTTGCTTCCGGAGGGCTGGGGAGTCCGTTTTCCATTCCCCAGGCTTCAGGAAAGCCTCCGGAGCCTGGTGGTGGTGAAAACTCCCCCATGCCCAGGTTAGTGGTGATGTCGTACACGTATACACTGATGGGTGAGGTGCATTGTATAAAGGGTGTGGGCAGACACGAATATGAAATATCACATGCGCACACAATTTTGGCACGCCTTTACAAAAAGGTTTGCTATCATTGGTATAGAATCTCCAAACTGGCAGGAATAGCCAACACTCCGGAAGACAGGCTCAAGATAAAAGATTGATCTTGACAGTCTTGAACATTGAGCACTATCTAACAAATTAAAATTCAATGGTGAAAAAATAAGTTTCTACGTTTAGGCAAGAAAAACAAAATTATTGTAGGGTTTCCAGCCTAGGCAGTGGGTTGGAATAGAAGCCCTCCATGATCACTTCCAAGTCTGTTATTCTATTATATTCTGCTTATTTCATTGTTTGTTCATTTGTGATAATTTATTTGGGACCCATTCACTGTCAGGGTTTCTGGGCTGCTGAAAAAAATCCAAATAATAAACATTCCTACACACAAACACACACACACACACAAACACACACACAAAACATCTGGGAATGACAATCCATTAGATAAGCCACTTGACGGGCTCCATCCCACTCTGGGTTCCAAAGGCATGTTGGCAAAAGGGCCTTGCTGAAGATAATCAAAGTAGTCCCAATCTAACCTCCATGGGGACGATGTTCCAAAGATTTGGAGGTACTATAGGCCCATTTTCTGAGTCCTTCCATATGGAGCGGAGACCGTCCCTGCCTCCCCACTCTGGTGAGTCGGGAGGATGTGACCAGGTTGAGATGGTCCTTCAAATAACATGGTCCCAACCATGTTAGGATTTAAAGGTGACAAGCTTTACCCAGAAGGAAATTGGCAGACAATGCAGCTGTTACAGGAGAGGCGACACATCTGAACACCTGGGTCTGTACAAAATCATCTTCTTCTACTTCTACTTCTATTTCTACTACTTCTTCTTCCTCTTCCTCTTCCTCCTCCTCCTCCTCTTCCTCTTCCTCTTCCTCTTCTTCTTCTTCCTCCTCTCCTCCTCCTCCTCCTCCTAACCTTCATATTTTATGGACAGTACATTGACTGTGTCAAACCTTTTCTAAACCACATAAACAAAAGAAATACAAATAAATATCTGTACAAATCTTCCAACTTCAACAATATTGGTCTCTTTCCATAGTCCTTTACAAATACAACAAAATGTAACAAAAAGGCAACAGTAAAAATATTGGGTTTCTGCCTGGATGGTCTC